GAGGTTATTTAAGTTTTGGGTGTTGGCTGGTTGGGGAGTTTGGTTTGTTTTAGTTGGAGTAGTGTATATTGTTTCCTCAGTAGTGGAGAAATCTTCGTCATCGGTTAGATTAGGTTTAGCTGATTGAGTTTCCATGGAGGAGGCATGTGATGTGGAGGATTGTGAAGGTGTTTGTGGGATGGGTGTAGCTGATGTTTTCTTAGTGTTTGTGTTTTGTTGTTGTGCTTGCTTGTGGGAGAGTGTTGTTACCATATGGGCTGTAGGGTGCTTGGATGAGGGTCGTGTTGTGGTGGTCATTTTGAGGTTTGTTTTGCATGCGGGGGTTGATGTTTTGGCTATGTGAGATGTGGGAGGGTTCGTGGTTGGTTGAGTGGCTGCTTGTATGTGTGAGGTGGGTGCGGTTTCTCGGTAGGGGGCCCAGACAGAGCTGTCGGTTATGGGTGTGGTGTTTGTTTGTGGGATGGTGTTTGGGTGTGGTGTAGGGAGGAGTGGTTTAGATGCAGGTGTAGCAAATTTTCGTGTTTGGATTTTAGCCGTGTCTATGTTTATGTGTTTGTTGGCCTGCTGGGTGAGTGTGAGTCTGTATGGGCATTGAGAGTGAAGTGTGTTGGGTTGATTTGTAATGGATGCACCAGGGTGTGCATGTGCCTGGGCAGTCTGTTTGTGCGCATTTTTTACATTTAGTTTTACGGTATGTGCATTGGGAGGCAGTGTGGTTGTATTTGAGGCACTTTGTACATTGCTTAACCTGCTTTATATAGGGTTTGACTTCTAAGTTGGTGTGGGCTTCGAAGGATATGTGTTCGGGGGCTTCAGGGAATTTAGCGGTCTTTTTGAAGTTGATTATGACAATGGAGGTTGGGACCGTTTTTCCGTTTCTAGTTGAGGTTATTCTACGCGTGCTGGTGATTAGGGGTTGAGGGTTTTGGTCTTGGTTTATGTTAGCTTCTAGAGAGTATAATTGTAAGTCCTCAGTTGTTTCCCTTGGGTTAACCCTAATTATGCCTCGTGTATATTGTTGCCAATTAGGTGTTTGTTTGATTACTGTGACGTGGAATATTTGAGTTATTTTATTTGCTGCGTTGTAAGATTCTCGGTTAGGGAAGATTATCTGGTATCCTTTGTTGGCTTTTTTAATATTGTTGTAATTTATTTTTTCTCTTTTAAACCAAAGTCCTATTTTATCTGCCGAAAGTTCTAGTGAGAGAGTGGTGCCTGAGCCTGCTGAGAAGAAGTAGAGGGCGAAGGTGGTGAGGAAGGCGGCCGGGGAGGGTGTGGGCGATGGAGGTGGAGTGGATGTGTCGAGTTTGCGTTTTTTGGTGTTTTGAGGTGGCGAGTTAGGTTTGGTGGGGGTGGTGTGTGTCGTGTTTTCGCCATACTCGGTCGGGACGATGTTTTAGAGTGACCTCCCGGAAGTGTTGTGCGCTTCCGCAGGCGTGGGTGAGTAAGGAGCTGGCATGTCTGCGAGTGTGGCGTTGCGGGTGTCAGTCATGTTGTTTGGGTGTTGTGTTGGAGAGTTGGAGAGCGTGTGTTGTGGTGAGTGGTGGTGGAGTGGGAGTGATGTTTTGGGGAGGTGTGTTGGTTTGTTGTTTTTACTTGGTGAGTTGTGTTTAGGAGACGGAGTAGGTTGCGGTGGTTATTTGTTGTTGGTTTTAGTAGGAGGGTTTGTGATATGGATTAATTATTAAAGATTTATTTTGTTGTTGGAAGGCTGGGATTAGGTGAGACAAGTGGAAAGCGGGGATAGGAGATATTTAGTCGAAGGAGTGGAGGTATGTGAGTGGTGGGCGTGGGTGGTGAGTAGGAAAGAGCGTGCGTTGTGTTAAGGAGAAGGGGGGATTAGGTGTTTTTTTGTTTTTAGGAGTTGGGTCAAAGGGTGTGTTTGAGTGGTGGGCGTGGGTAGTGAGTAGAAATGAGTGCGAGCTGTGTTAGGGAGATGGGGGAGGATAAGGTGTTGGTTATTTATAAGAGTTGAGTGTTGTTGTTTTTAAGGATTTAGGGGTTTTGTGATTAATTCGGTGAGAGTGATGTATGTGAATAAGGATGAAAGGATAACGTGATAATTACCGATGATGGAGTTTCCTTGGCTGGCTATCAGGCAATGCTCTGTGCTGGCTTGGGAAGTGTTGCTCGCTTGGCCAAGACTCGATTATTTACAGACCGCTGTCCTAAAGCTGGAATATTGCTAGGTTCGGCGTTAAACAACAAACAAACAAACGATGAGAGTGATTTTAAGAGTATGTGAATAAGGCTGAAAGGATAACGTGATAATTACCGATGATGGATTTCTCCTTGGCTGGCTATCAGGCAATGCTCTGTGCTGGCTTGGGAGGTGTTGCTCGCTTGGAGTACAAACTGCATCTCATAAATGCCATGCGGCAGAGAGCATATATATGTACATACCCCCGGCCACCCGTTTGCCCAGTGTCCATTACCTATTACTTACTTACTTACTTACTTACTTTGGAGATTTAACGTGCGCTTTCCGACTGATGCGTATTTCGCACACGGGCCCGGCCAGGCCATTTAATGTGTTTCCGAAAGGGGCGAAGGTGGTCTGTGCAACCCAAGAGGGGGGTTTTAGGGGTTGCTTATATAGAATTTGGGAATTTTGAGATTTGGAATAGATGCCGATGGGATTGGGGAGGAGAACTAAGGGAGCTGGGTATGGTGGATGTTTGTTTGTTTATGTGATTTTGATTTGGTGAGTTATTGTGTTTTTAGATGCGTTTTATTAGTTCCGTTTTGATTAAGAATACGCCTAAGGCCTTGAAGTTTTCTAGTTTATTTTGTGGGTTTAGTATTGCTTCTAGAGTTAGAGCCTTGTTTAGATTGAGGGTGGTTTGTAATGCCTATTACTTATCTATGATACTTAAGTACTTCCATACTATCAGCGCTAATTACTGTTGAAAGTGTTGACTTCCATTGTCTGTCGTTAATCACCTATCAGCGCCAATCACCTGTTCGCCTCCCTTGTTAGCTTCTACCCTTTGTTATTTTCCACCTTTTGTTATGTTATTAATTTTATTGTCCTTTCTTGTACATATATATGCATTCTGCCTCATGGCATTCATTTACCTGATGAGGGAGTAAGCATATAGGAGTAAGCAATCACGGCTTTATCTCCGCGGCACTGACTGGATAAGTGTACGAATTATGTCCTGCGGAATAGGTCTTCAGCAACCCATGCTTGCCGTAAAAGGCGACTAACGGGTTCGGGTGGTCAGGCGCGCTGACTTGGTTGATGCATGTCATCGATCCCAATTGCGTGGATTGATGCTCGTGAGATTAATCACTGGATTGTCAGGTCCAGACTGGATTATTTACAGAGCGCCGTCATATAGCTGTAATATTGTTGAGTACGGCGTTAAACAACAAACCAACCAACCAAATGTCCTGCGGAATTCTGCGCCATTCTGCTTGTAACGCGTTGGTCAGTTGTTGGAGTGTCTTCGTCCCAGAGATGCTCCGATCGGCAGCGTTAAGTTCCGACATTTTCGAAACTTGAAAAATATTGACAATTGAATGACAATTTTTTGGCTTATGCTTACCCTTTTATAGCCACTGCCACGAGTTACGAATGTCATAACTTGAACGTGCATTTTGCTTTACTGTTTTTCTCCGTGATATTTTTTAACAAGTGTGAAAACAATGCCGTTTAAGACATTGCAAATCGACAACGGCTGCGTTTTGACGCACCATTTGTCGAATATCAAGCCACTAACATTTTCCAATAGCATATATCCAATTTATGTCCCGGATATTTTTGTGTAGTCACGTTGAGACTACTGCTCACGTCAATGATGAGGCTATTGCTCTGTGTGTTTCTTTGTTTGTTTCTTTGAGTGTTCATTCATTTATTGGATCCTCCATTCTGTATCCCTTGTGATGAAAGAATCACAGTCAAGCATGTCCTGCTTGACTGTATTGATTTTTCCATCTCAAGGGATAAATATTTCAGTGCAACATCAATAATGTTTCGTCTTACTTAATAATTAGCTTTTTAAAAGAAATAGAACTTGTACATAAATTTTGATAAATGTGTTTTGTAATTAATAAATGATCTTTTAATATTGGTCGAATAAATAGGATAACTAAGATTGTCAGTGGCTGTACCTCGAAGGGGGTTGAAGTAGTGTAAAATGATTGTCCCCCGGATATGGAACGTAAGTCCACGTCATTCACAGTATATTTATCACTACCATGTTTTTAATCGCAGAATATATGTTCTTTTAATTCGGCTAAATTGACAATAATCACTGAAGGGATGGTGTAAATCCTGCTGGGGTCCATACAGGTAGCAAAAGTACTGTAAGTACCCATGGACCCTAGCGTGGTGATCTACCTTCAGTTGTTGGCGATCTATAGCCTGTTTTCATGTTGTGTTGTAAAATGTTAATATATTTTTACATGCTCTCTGACTAGTTTTATGTAAATCTGTGATATTCTAGTTATTATACTGCCCTTCGTCGGCAGAATTGTATACAGTTTAAAATATATTGTTAATGTCAAATTTTGTTTCGTCACGATATGGCTGAAATATTGCCGATGTGACGTTAAACTTTAACTCACTCACTCACTCACTCACTCACTCACTCACTCACTCACTCACTCACTCACTCACTCACTCACTCACTCACTCACTCACTCACTCACTCACTCACTCACTCACTCACTCACTCACTCACTCACTCACTCACTCACTCACTCACTCACTCACTCACTCACTCACTCACTCACTCACTCACTCACTCACTCACTCACTCACTCACTCACTCACTCACTCACTCACTCACTCACTCACTCACTCACTCACTCACTCACTCACTCACTCACTCACTCACTCACTCACTCACTCACTCACTCACTCACTCACTCACTCACTCACTCACTCACTCACTCACTCACTCACTCACTCACTCACTCACTCACTCACTCACTCACTCACTCACTCACTCACTCACTCACTCACTCATTTATTTATTTATTTATTTTTCCAGTGATTGTCGTATGCCGAGCCCGATACGGCAGCTTCAAGTACGTCTGCATCAGCGACAGAAGTTGTAACGGCAACGGTACTTGTCCCAATCCATGTCGATCTGCGTGCGAGTGTCTCAATGGATACAGCGGCCATGACTGCTCCAAACGTATGTGAATCTGAACTTCGGGTCTCGTTGTAAAATTTCATACAGTAGAATAGCAGAATGATAAAGATGTGGGGACAGGCTTTTTCCAGTCCCAGTTGAAAGGAAATGGTTAACTGGAATTATTACTGCTGCACAATTGATCTTGTGGATTATGTATCAAGAATGGTCAAGGAAAACTATTCTCAACTAATTGGGCAGGGTTGACACAGTGATACTGTTGTAAACTACTGGGGAAGATGACAGAGAGGTACTGTTGTAAACTACTGTGGAAGATTACAGAGTGGTACTATCATAAACAACTGGGGAAGATCACAGAGTGGTACAGTTGTAAACTACTGGGGAACATGACAGAGAGGTACTGTTGTAAACTACTGGGAATGGTGACAGGGAGATACTGTTGTAAACTACTGGGGAAGATGACAGAGAGATACTATTGTAAACTATTTGGGGAACGTGACAGAGAGGCACTGTTGTAAGCTACTAGGGAAGGTGACAGAGAGGCACTGTTGTAAACTACTGGGGAAGGTGACAGAGAGATACAGTTGTAAACTATTCGGGAAGTTGACAGAGAGGCACTGTTGTAAACTACTGGGGAAGGTGAAAGAGAGATACAGTTGTAAACTATTCGGGAAGTTGACAGAGAGGCACTGTTGTAAGCTACTAGGGAAGGTGACAGAGAGGCACTGTTGTAAACTACTGGGGAAGGTGACAGAGAGATACTGTTGTAAACTACTGGGGAAGGTGAAAGAGAGATACAGTTGTAAACTACTGGGGAAGGTGACAGAGTGGCACTGTTGTAAACTACTGGTGAAGGTGACAAGGACATACGGTTGTAAACTACTGGTGAAGGTGACAGAGAGATACTGTTGTAAACTACTAGGGAAGGTGACAGAGAGATACTGTTGTAAACTACTGGGGAAGGTGACAGAGAGGCACTGTTGTAAACTACTGGGGAAGGTGAAAGGGAGATACTGTTGTCAACTACTAGGGAAGGTGACAGAGAGATACTGTTGTAAACTACTGGGGAAGGTGACAGGGAGATACTGTTGTAAACTACTGGTGAAGGTGACAGAGAGATACTGTTGGAAACTACTGGGGAAGGTGAAAGGGAGATACTGTTGTCAACTACTAGGGAAGGTGACAGAGAGATACTGTTGTAAACTACTGGGGAAGGTGACAGGGAGATACTGTTGTAAACTACTGGGGAAGGTGACAGGGAGATACTGTTGTAAACTACTGGGGAAGGTGACCAAGACATACTGTTTTAAACTACTGGGGAAGGTGACAGGGAGATACAGTTGTAAACAACTTGGGAAGATAACAGAGTGATACTGTTGTAAACTACTGGTGAAGGTGACAGAGTGATACTGTTGTAAACTACTGGGGAAGGTGACAGAGAGATACTGTTGTAAACTACTGGGGAAGGTGACAGAGAGATAGTGTTGTCAACTACTGGGTGAGCTGACAGAGTGATACTGTTGCACACTACTGGGGAAGGTGACAGAGAGTCACTGTTGTAAACTACTGGGGAAGGTGACAGAGAGGTACTGTTGTAAATTGCTGGGGAAGGTGAAAGAGTGATACTGTTGTAAACTACTGGGGAAGATGACAGAGTGGTACTGTTGTAAACTACTGGGGAAGATGACAGAGAGATACTGATGTAAACTACTAGGGAAGATGACAGAGTCATATTGTTGTAAACTACTGGGGAAGGTGACAGGGAGATACTGTTGTAAACTATTATCTTCAGGTGGCAGAATGATACTGTGGTGAACTTCTAGCAAAGGGTGGCTGAGTGATACTGTGGTGAACTACTACCTAATGGTGGCAGAGTGATACTGTGGTGAACTACTATCTGCGGGTGACAGTTATACTGCGGTGAACTTCTAGCTAAGGGTGGCAGAGTGATACAGAGGTGAACTACAAGCAAGGGGTGGCAGACTGATACTGTGGTGAACAACTAGCTAAGGGTGGCAGTGTGATACTGTGTTGAACAACTAACTAAGGGTGGCAGTGTGATACTGTGGTGAACAACTAACTAAGGGTGGCAGAGTCATACATATGTGAACTACTAGCTAAGGATGGCAGTGTGATACTGTGTTGAACAACTAACTAAGGGTGGCAGTGTGATACTGTGGTGAACAACTAGCTAAGGGTGGCAGTGTGATACTGTGTTGAACAACTAACTAAGGGTGGCAGTGTGATACTGTGTTTAACAACTAACTAAGGGTGGCATTGTGATACTGTGGTGAACAACTAGCTCAGGGTGGCAGAGTGATACTGTGGTAAACTACAAGCATAGCGTGGCAGAGTGATATTGTGGTGAACTACTAACTAAAGTCTGCAGAGTTATACTGTTCTGAACAACAACCTAAGGGTGAAAGAGTGATACTGTGGTGAACTACTAGTTACGGATGGCAGAGAGATACTGTGGTGAACTACTAGCTTGGGGTGGCAGAGTGATGCTGTGGTGCTTTACTAACTAAGGGTGGCAGAATGATACAGAGATGATTCTGTGGTGAACTACTAGCTAAGGGTGGCAGAGTGATACTGTGGTGAACTGGAAACTTCGGGTGACAGAGTGATACTGTGGTGTACTACAAGCTAAGGATGGCAGAGTGATACTGTGGCAAACAACTAACTAAGTTTGGCAAAGTGATACGTAGGTGAACTACTAGCTAAGGATGGCAGTGTGATACATAGATTAACTACAAACTAAGGATGGCAGTGTGATACTGTGGTGAACAACTAGCTAAGGATGGCAGTGTGATACTGTGGTGAACAAATAGCTAAGGGTGGCAGAGTGATACTATGGTGAACGACAACCTAGGGGTGACAGAGTGATACTGTAGTGAACTACTAGCTATGGAGGGCAGTGTGATACTGTGGAAAATAACTAACTAAGGGTGGCAGAGTGAGACTGTGGTGAACTACAAGCATAGCGTGGCACAGTGATACTGTGGTGAACTACTAGCTAAGGGTGGCAAAGTGATACTGAGGTGAACTACCAGCTGGGGGTAACAGAGTGATACTGTGGTGAACTACTAGCGAAGGGTGGCAGATTGATTCTTTTTGTGAACTACTAGCTAAGGTTCTCAGAGTGATACTGTGGTGAACTACAAGCTAGGGGTGATAGAGTGATACTGTTGTGAACTACAAGCTACGGCTGACAGAGTGATACTGTGGTGAACTACTAGCTAAGGTTGGCAAAGTGATACTGTTGTGAACTAATAGCTAAAGGTGGTAAATGATACTGTGGTGAAATCCTAGCTAAGGGTGGCAGAATGATACTGTGGTGAACTACTAGCTGGGGGTGACAGAGTGATATTGTGGTGAAATACTAGCTAAGGGTGGCAGATCGATACTGTGGTGAACTATTACCTGGGGATGACAGAGTGATACTGTGGTGAACTACTAGCGAAGTGTGGCAGATTGATATCTGTAATGAACTGCTAGCTTAAAGTGGCGGAGTGATACTACGGTAAACGACAAGCTAGTTGTGGCAGAGTGATTCTGTGGTGAACTACTAGCTAAGGATGGCGGAGTGATAATGTGGTGAACTACAAGGTAAGGGTCGCAGAGTGATACTGTGGTGAACTACTAGCTAAGAGTGGCAGAGTGATACTATGGTAAACGACAAGCTAGGGGTGACAGAGTGATACTGTAGTGTACAACTAGCCGGGGGTAACAGAGTGATACTGTAGTGAACTACTAGCGAAGGGTGGCTGATTGATTCTGTGGTGAACTACTAGCTAAGGTTGACCGAGTGAAAGTGTGGTGAACTACAAGCTAGCGGTGACAGAGTGATACTGTGGTGAACTTCTAGCTAGGAGTGGGAGAGTGATACTGTGGTGAACTACTGGCTTGGGGTGGCAGAGTGATACTGTGGTGAACTACAAGCATAGCGTGGCAGAGTGATACTGTGGTGAACTACAAGCTAGGGGTGATAGGGTGATACTGTGGTGAACTACAAGCTAGGGGTGATAGAGTGATACTGTTGTGAACTACAAGCTACGGCTGACAGAGTGATACTGTGGTGAACTACTAGCTAAGGTTGGCAAAGTGATACTGTTGTGAACTAATAGCTAAAGGTGGCATAATGATACTGTGGTGAAATCCTAGTTAAGGGTGGCAGAATGATACTGTGGTGAACTACTAGCTGGGGGTGACAGAGTGATATTGTGGTGAAATACTAGCTAAGGGTGGCAGATCGATACTGTGGTGAACTATTACCTGGGGATGACAGAGTGATACTGTGGTGAACTACTAGCGAAGTGTGGCAGATTGATTCTGTAATGAACTGCTAGCTTAAAGTGGCAGAGTGATACTACGGTAAAAGACAAGCTAGTTGTGGCAGAGTGATTCTGTGGTGAACTACTAGCTAAGGATGGCGGAGTGATAATGTGGTGAACTACAAGGTAAGGGTCGCAGAGTGATACTGTGGTGAACTACTAGCTAAGAGTGGCAGAGTGATACTATGGTAAACGACAAGCTAGGGGTGACAGAGTGATACTGTAGTGTACAACTAGCCGGGGGTAACAGAGTGATACTGTAGTGAACTACTATCGAAGGGTGGCTGATTGATTCTGTGGTGAACTACTAGCTAAGGTTGACCGAGTGAAAGTGTGGTGAACTACAAGCTAGCGGTGACAGAGTGATACTGTTGTGAACTTCTAGCTAGGAGTGGGAGAGTGATACTGTGGTGAACTACTGGCTTGGGGTGGCAGAGTGATACTGTGGTGAACTACAAGCATAGCGTGGCAGAGTGATACTGTGGTGAACTAGTAGCTATGGCTGGCAGACTGATACTGTGGTGAACTGCTACCTAAGAGTGGCAGAGTAATACTGTGGTGAACTACTAGCTAGGGGTGGCAGAGTGACACATAGGTGAACTACAAGCTAGGGGTGGCAGAGTGATACTGTGGTGAACTACAAGCTAAGGGTGGCAGAGTGATACAAACTAAGGATGGCATTGTGATACTGTGGTGAACAACTAGCTA